CTGCCCTTATTCAGATGGCCTAGTGTAGTCTGTAGCAGACACGGTTGCACTTCATGTGGGCAGAAAGCTAGGTCAGTAGCTTTCTGTCGTCCATAGTTCTGTTCTCCAGTGTGTGTGTGTTACAGTGTTATTATGCATGTGTGTGGACATGTAAAAGCCAAAATTGACATTGGGTATTTTATTGTCACTGTACACCTTAGTTTTTGAGACAGGATTTTACACAAACACACAACAAACACAGATGCACTAGAGTGACTGTGTGTTTATATCTAGCTTTTCCATGGTAATCCAAACTCAAGTCCTCATACTTGCCCAGCAAACATTTTACCAACTGAGTAAGTAGTCCCTGCCACCCTTTACCAGCTTTTTTACCATGGCCAAATTAACTTCTACATTTTAAATTTTAGTTTCTTCAAGATTTTACTGTACCATAGTTTCCCAGTGCCTGGTACCTAGGAAACAGACGGTGGGGGTGGGGTACTAGGGAACAGAATCCAGGGATAGGCAAGCATTCTACCACTAACCTGCATTTTCAACTCACTGCTTTTGAAGCAGAGTCTCACTATGTATCTCAGTGTAGTCTTGCAGTATTGATCCTCCTGCCGCAGTCTCCCTAGTGCCATGACTTCAGACCTGTTTCCACCGTTTTTATTAGCAGCCCCCGCTTGTCATTTGTTTGTTTGGGTTGTTGCTGGTTGTGATGAGTCAGGATCTTGCTATGTTGGCCAGGTTAGTTCATGAGTTCCTCCTATCTCAGCCACCTGAGTAGCTTTGCTTTTAATTTTAGCAGTGTTGATAGTTTATCCTTTCCAGCAGCCCATTTGGGCAACTGCTTGTTGTCAAACTGGGGTGGGGGGAAATACTGAAGTTGATTAAAAAGCACTTACTGTGCAAGCATGAGGAGCTGGGTTCAAATCTCCAGCACTCACATGAAAAGCCATGTGTGGCTGTGCACACCTGGAACCCACAGCACTCTGATTGAGGGTGTGCTTGTGAATCCACCTTCACAAGTGCCTCTGGGGCTCATCAGGGATGACCTGACATCAAGGTCTAATTCCTTCTGTCTCTGGAGTAGCCTAATTGCCATGAAGGAAGGCAGCACCAATGCCAGCTGGCGGGGCATTTGTAGGCCTCCACAGCTGCCTAGATCCCAATCTGGTCACTCCAATATACTCTGGAATCAGTCCTGAACTAGCTCAGATCCTCCATGTTACATGTCTGCTCATAGAATATTTGGACTTTCTCAGGCTCAGGAGGAAACAAGTAGCATGGGGATACCAAAAAGCCATCTTAGAGTACACCTGAGTGGTTTTGTTTTGGTTTAAAAAAAAAAAAAAAAAAAAAAAGGCCTCTCAGCTAATCCTAGTGGTACATGCACTCAGAAAGTTGAGGCTGGAGGATCACAGGAGGCCAACCTGGGCTGTAGAGTAAAAACCTATCCCAAAAAAACAAAAGCAGCAACAAAAAGCCTAATAAGAAGTAGCTGTTGGGGAATTGGCTCAGTGAATAAAGTGCCATCAGCACGGGCATGGAGACCTGATTTCATTAAGAACTGTAGGGATTAGACTGCCAGATCCTGGAAGCTCGATGACCAACCTGTCTATCTGAAGTGCTGAGTTCTAGGTTCCGTGAGACTTTGTCTCAAATAATAAGGTGGAACAAAAAGAAAGAAAGAAAATTAAAAAGGAAGATGGAAAACAATAGTTTTGACATCCAAAGTTGACCTCTAGCCTCTACACATGTATACAGGTATACATACAGTGAATCATGAGAAATTGAATTTGTTCCAGGAAGGCAAGTTGACCTAACATTAGAAAAGTCAATGTAGGAGCTGCAGAGCTGGCTGAGTGGGTGGAAAGTGCTTACCATGCAAGCTACATGATCTGAGTTCGAGCCCAGAATCAATTCATCTAGCCTTCATGAATCTGCATGTGTACAAACAACAATAACAATAATGATAAATAAGCTTAAAAAAACATAATGGAGTATATAAGCCCTTGTCACATTCTGGACAACTACAAATTTTTCCTTAAAAGCATGTATACATTTTAAAAGTAGCCAAATAGTTCTAGACCAATAACTGAGTAGAAACAAAATAAACTCCACAAATACACAACCCCCATCCAGCAGAGCCCTTGTCCTGAGTTTGGGATACGTCTTCCTTATTCTTTGTGTTTTGTCACCTAAATATTGCTAACTGGTAAACTATGGGAACATACAGCTTGCACCTGGGCTCACTCCTTAGCCTCCTCCTTACTTTGTCCTCTGTAACTGGAGGACAGTGACACCTGCCTCTCTCGTTGGAGAAAGCTAGTAACAGCAGAGGGCCTCAACTGGTGTCTGGCTCCTAGGAAGCAAGGTATATGCATTAGGGGGATTTGGCTTAGTGATTGATCCTTGCCTGGCATGTGAGGCTCTAGTCTGGCCCCGGGGCCAGGAGGGAGGGGGTGCTTCTTCAATTTTCATTTCTAATTCAAGGATTATTGGAAGCTTGAGCTACTGAATGTGTTTGGGGTTCCAAGTCTTGCTCTATTGGGTATGAGTTGAAAATCTAGGGGCTTTCCAGAAGGAGCTGAAGAAACAGGTGCTGACTCACCCATGTTCAAGGCTGGAACTTCCCAGCAGGCTATGGAGTTTGCTGATTGTTTATTAGCAGTTCTGCCAGTGGGTGGGTGGGTCTTTCTCACTGCTGGGGCCAGGTCTAGACAGATACTAGACAGAGGGCAGTCAAGGGTCACTAAGCTAGAAAAGGGGAAATACCTGACAAAGTCAGTCTTAAAACTCATTGGGCAGGGCAGTGGTGGTGAATGCCTTTAATCCCACCACAGAAGGAACTCTGTAAATTTGAGGACAGGCAGGACAAAGAGAAACCCTGTCTTGAAACCCTACCACCACCAAAGAAGAGAAGAGAGACAGATGTTGGGCTACTAAGGTGACTCAGTAGGTAAAGGTGCCTGCAAATTGTTCTCTGACAGATGCACACACTGTGATGTACACGCGCGTACACGCGAGCGCACATATACACTCTCTCTCAAATAAACTATTGAAAATTTTTAAAAGAAAGCCAGGTGTTGTGACACACACCTTTAATCCCAGCCATCAGGAGGCAGAGACAAATAGATCTGAGTTAGCCTGGTCTACGTAGCAAATTCCAGAACAGCCAATGCTATATAATGAGACCCTGTCTCAAAAAACAGCTACAAAGAATCTCTAAAAGGTTTTGAAGGGGCGAAGATGATGTGTATCTCTGTGTAGTAAACAGAACCCCCAAGGCTCAAGGGATTGCTAGAGCTAAAGGCACACTAGGGAGCATGACAATTTAATGGCTCATAGTTCCCTATCCCTAAAATACTGCTTTCTATAGCTGAATAACAGTCACTATATAGCAGCTTAAAGCTGCTGTAGGTACCTGGTGTACAGGTGGTGTAGTGTGTGTGTGCAGAGGGTAGGGGACAGGACTGGGCTCTCAGGACCTTAGCAGTCCATGTGTTATCTGTGCCCTTATCAAAGTTATCTGACTCTTGTCCCCATTGTCTTGGTAGCTGTAAATAAAGACCATTCTCAGCTCTTCCTTGTTACCTACCACCCTGACTGTGTCCTCCAAGGCCCTGTGCATCACCTCTGTGCTGCCCCACTAGTCTTCAGCCACTGCTGACCTAAACAGGACTCCTCCTTCCTTTTGCTATTGCCACCACCTAAGCTAGCAACAGGGACATGTCTAACAGTAGTCAACCTTGAAAGCATACACAAAGACTGCTCCAGACTTTTGAGAGACCTAGTCAGAGGAAGTGGACAAGATTGTCTTTTGCACACACACACACACACACTCAGACAGCCCCAGATAGGAACTCCCTCTTCCTTCTGCTTATCCTACTGCCTCAGTAGAACCAAGATGGATGGTCCCAGCTGTGAGCTGTCACCCCTGTTCAGCCTGCTGAGATGATGTGATAGAATAGCTGTGATCCAGCAGCTTCCTGTCTTTGTGTTGGGGAAGGGATGTGTGGGCCGAACCAAGAGAGGGAACCATTAGCATTGAGGTTGAGCCACTTGGCCTCTTGATAGTGGCTTCCTTGCATGGAGGGTGGGAACTGCTGTGTGAGGAGCACCTGTTGCCTGGATAGGTGACAGTTTGTTTCTGGGCCTCCGTGTACCTCTTTCCACCTCAGAACTTGGCTGCCAACCATCAGGACCACTTCTGGTGCTTATCATGGGGGCTGGGTTGAGGGAAACATCAGTGCTGCTATCCCTGGAACAAAATCCTCTCTTTGAGTCATCCCTGTGGCCTTCCCACCAGAGCAGGAAGGAAGTGACTGTTCTTCTCTTCCTCTGGGCCATCTGGGACAAAGGACAGAGAGACAGACAGATGAGGGCCAGGTTTTGTGTGTACATATGTCGTCTCAGCACTGAGAAGGCTGAGGCAGGAAGATCATTAGTTCAGGTCAGCCTAAGCTGCATAATAAGACTATCTGTACTGTCCTAGTTGCTTTCCATTTCTGTGACCCGAAGCAACTAGGGGAAGGAAAGGATTTATTTGCCTTACACTTCACCTCACAGTTCTTCACTGAGGGAAGTCAGAGCAGGAACTCAAGCAGGAACCTGGAGACAAGAACTGATGCAGAGGCTATGGAGGAATACTGATCTCTGTCTCACTTCCTTTTTATACAAGCCAGAACAGCTTGCCCAGGGGTGACACCACCCACAGTGAGCTTAGCACTCCAACATCACATATATCATTAACCAAGGAAATGCTCCCCAGAGTTGCCACAGGCCAGTGTGATGTAGACACTTTGCAGTTGCTAGTCTTTTTCCTAGATGACTCTAGCTTGAGTCAAGTTAATAAAAAACCAAGCACACACAGACACTCTCTGCCTTCCTAGACTTTGCTTTCCTGTTTGCACAGCAGAACAGCCCTGTCGTTGTCTCCCACCCCCACCCCACCCTTTCGTCTGTTATTCTGGCTTCCTCCATCAGGACTGATGAACTGTTTCTCTTCATCACAGGGTGAGTCAGTGAAGTACTTCCTGGATAACTTAGACCGGATTGGCCAGCTGGTGAGTAGCCCACTTCTCCCCACCACCTCAGTCTACCGTCTAGGTAGAGTACCTGGTGTGTAAAACAAAGCAGACAACAGGCTCCAGCAACACCATGGACCAGCTCATTGCATCTAGTTTCTATAAATTGTTTCATCTGTTATGTTCCCACTCAGCTCTACACACCTGGTCTTAGGGAAAAAAATTGACATATGAGAGTGGCTTCACCCCACTCACTGTGAGAAACATAGGAGCCCTGGCTAGCGTCAAAGGAGGCTTTTCTGTCACTTAACTCTGGTAGAAAAATCTAGCATATTCCAAGGCAAGCAGAATGGCCAAACCTCCAGTAGAGTGACCATTCCCAGTCAGCCTCAGTGACCTGCCTGGATGCCCAAGAGCACCTCCTTGTTACCACCTCCTCACAGACTTGGTTCTAGGTGTGGTGGAATGACATCCCAGCACTCAGCAGGCCTAAGCCAGAGGAGCAAGAGTTAGAGGCCAGCCTGGGAGGCCCTGTCTCAATAAAACACGAAAATAACAACAGTGTACATGGCTAACAAAACTGAAAAGCACAGTCACACCACCGAAGTGCTGCTGAAGAACTATCAGAGGCTCCCCAATGCCAGCCAATATCCAGGCAGTTTTGAGTCTTCCCCCACTATCTGGTGAATTTTCCTTGGTAATACTATTACATTTTGAGCAGAACTGACATCCTAATGAGCCCCACTCATCACAGGTGAGTAATGTCACTGAAATGTGTTGTCTCTAGATTTTTCTCCTCCCTGCTGGGTTTCGCCCCTGCCCCCATTTTGATTTATTGTCTCACTCTTCTGTCCTCAGTGTAGTGGACAGTCACTACAGTGTTGGTCACAGCCTATTGGCTTTTTGGTGAGACTGTGACATGAGTAGACAAATGTTCTGGTCCCTGAGACCTTCAAAATGCTGAATCAAAGGGGTTTGAAAATTGCCAAAGTTAGGACCTTAGTGATGGAGCACCTGCCTAGAAGCCCCAGTGAGGGGCTGGGGGCTTGGCTCAGTGGTAGAACATGCAAGAAGCTCTGTTTTATCTTCAACACACACAAAAAAAAGTTTTCTAAGAAAAACATATTAAATGTCTCATTGGGTTCACTTAGATCTCATTACACAACCTAAATCAAATTAGTCAATGGGAAGGTTTAAAATGTATGTGCTCTGGAAGCTAGAAAACTAAATATCTATGGTATAGAAACAAATGAAAAAGATGCTTATTTTTTTCTGGTGGAGAAGATGGATGAGATTTTACAGAAGACTCATCTGAAGATCCTGGCCATTCTGTCTCAAGCCAGAGAATTTGTATTCACTGTGAAATGAAGCTTTGTTGTGAGCTGGATTTATAGCTCTGACCGTGAGATTTGCTTTTGGTGTTTGCTTAAATGTTCTTGCAAGAGTTCCTGTATCTTTCTCTTACAGCCTGTGTAATGCCAGCTTTATGTTCGTCCTTTACTGTTTTTCTTCCTTCTCAAATAATCTTCCTTCGTTACGTTTCCCAGAACTACTTCCCCAGTAAGCAAGACATCCTGCTTGCCAGAAAGGCCACCAAGGGAATCGTGGAACATGACTTCGTTATAAAGAAAATCCCATTTAAGATGGTGGATGTGGGCGGCCAGAGGTCACAGCGCCAGAAGTGGTTCCAGTGCTTCGACGGGATCACGTCAATCCTGTTCATGGTGTCCTCAAGCGAGTATGACCAGGTCCTTATGGAGGACAGGCGCACCAACCGGCTGGTGGAGTCCATGAATATCTTTGAGACCATCGTCAACAATAAGCTCTTCTTCAATGTCTCCATCATCCTCTTCCTCAACAAGATGGACCTCCTAGTGGAGAAGGTGAAGTCGGTGAGCATTAAGAAGCACTTCCCGGATTTCAAGGGTGACCCGCACCGGCTGGAGGATGTGCAGCGCTACCTGGTGCAGTGCTTTGACAGAAAGCGCCGGAACCGCAGCAAGCCCCTGTTCCACCACTTCACCACGGCCATCGACACCGAGAACATCCGCTTTGTGTTTCATGCTGTGAAGGACACAATCCTGCAGGAGAACCTGAAAGATATCATGCTGCAGTGACACAGCCCCTCTGCCGTCCTCTCGTGGCCTCCGTGGCCCATGGTCACACGTCTCTGGTGTGTCGTCACCCGCAGAGACCTGCAGTGGGCATCTCGAACCCACACCATCTAATACCTGGCTCAAGAGACTGCCAGCCACACCAGCGAGCTCCAGGCAAGAGGTCATAGGAGTGTCAGTGATAGCTACTGAATCCGGGGACTGTGAAACTACTGAGTCCACGCCATTATTCTGGTGTTGATCTGTAAACCTGGTAACACAGCTTTCTCCCTCCTTACAGAAACTGTTCCTTGCTGACACAACTTAACCAAGGTTCAGGTACACACATGCTCTCATTGACAGAAACACAAACCTAGCTGGCCTTGCAGGTGGCTCTTCCCTCTGACATGCAGCTCTCAGTAAAACACACTAATTCAAAAGCTTAGCCTCACGGTAGGCTGTAGAAGGGCATGCGATGCTGCTAAGCTCAGTGTCCAAGCTCAGGCCACAGCACCACCTCCCAAAGTGAACACGCTGCCTTTAAAATTGTGCCAACACCCTCAGAGTCCCCACTCCAGCCACCGAGCCAAGCCAGATGTCCCCACTCCCTGCTGTAGAGAACAAGGTGGGAGCTGTGAAGCTGCCTTAATGCCCCAAAAGCCACTCACTTTGTCTGCATGCCCAGCAGGACAGCATGGAGAGGCCGTGGCTAGCCTGTGTACACATAGTGGTGCTCTCTACTCTTTCCCCCATCCTTCCACAGCCAGTGGCAAAGACACATATCTAAGTGGCCTTGTAGTGGCCCCTATGCCTTACTTGACAGTTGGTGGCATGTAGTGTCCTCTGTCCTGGGCTCTGAAAGCAGGCCAAAGAGATGCTCTGCAACCCTAGAGCATTTTCATGTCTTGGCCACTTGGTGGGCCCCAGCCACTAGCCCTTCAGGAGAAGCCTGGGCTCTGCATACCACCCCTCACCATTGCCTTCACACAGTGCATTCTGCTCTCAGAGTTGCTGGCAAGCCACCTTCTGTCACTGTGCACACAAAGCCAAGAGGCACCCTCCACACTCTGGTCCATAAGGTCACAGAAGGCTGGGGACATCAGCACAACCTGCTACATCTCAGCCTGGCCTGTCCAGCTTCCTGGCAGGTCACACTGTTTTACAATCTATTGCATTCCAGACATGCCCCTCTGTACACTAACTATTCTCTGGGGGGCTGGGAAGGGGCTTATAACCTACTAGCATTTGAAACAAAAGATGATGTCTAGCCCCAGAGGGTTCTTTGGCTCACTAACACATCCAAGAGCCCTGTCTGCAGCCACACTGCTCCTGACATTTGGTCCCTGTTGCATCGCGGTCTTGGCTCATTTCATCCACCAGACATATAGGATTCTTGGAGCAGATGCTAAGCCAGGAGAAGGGGGGCTACTTCTGAAACCCCACTATTGCAGTGTTCGCTCAGATTAGGAAATAGCAGTCAATTTCTTGCTCACTTGCTCTCGCTCTCTGCTAAAGAGTTTATATATCAGTGTTTGCTGAGCTTCTGGCTCTTTGCTTTGGGAAGAAAAACAGCCATTTTGCCTGCTTCACCAAGTCTTCATGGGCAGAGGGGATGTGGCCAGCAGCCATGCCAGGTTCCTCAGGGGTCTTAGGTCTGCACACAGTAAGCATCCTTGCCAGGTGTCCCATGTATCTCAGTCAATGCCAAGACCCCAAGTAGACACAGGCTGTTTCCCCAGCCACTGTTGGAGGCCGCTGTGACTGAGGTGAGTGGTGGGGTTGTCAGGGAAGAGTGCTGTCCCTCTGACAGCCTGACATATGTACCAGTCACTTTCAAAGCTGGAAGCATGTGAGTAGCAAGATATGAACTTCCAACTAGCTGGGCAGGTGGATGGCCAGAGGCCCAGTGGCTTGGACCAACCCAGCCTCTGGCCCATTGCCCTGGTAAGCTGAGCCTGGCTGTATTCTCTGTTAGGATGCCCCCACTCTGTGATCCGTGAAGTGGTGCAATCGGAAAAGGAGATAGTGTTTGCAGGGCAAGGCTGAAGTTATTTACAAGTCTCTACACACAGATTGTAGTCAAGTTTGTCTCCCAGACCTTAGGCTTTTGGGGTTTTTTTTGTTTTGTTTTGTTTTGTTTTGTTTTTTTTTTTATTTTAATGTCACTGTTGCCCTTGACTATTGTCCTTTTTATTGCAGTGTTGGAGAAGCAGAAGGTATTAGTGCCTCCTCTATCACTGCAAAAAAATAAATAAATAAATGTAACAATAAACTTCCTTAAAACTCAATACTGCTTTGGTGTGGGGGTGGGGGACATTCTGAGAAGTGTTTTTAGACCACTTGGCCATCCTGACATACTAAGAAGTGTCCTTAATAACACCTGTACAGAAATTATTTCAAAGTTCTTAAGTCATTCTGTAATTTAGAGATCACTAGGATTTCTAGTCTTGTAATTTCCCTACTTCTTTGATAGATAAAAATAATAGCAAAAAGAGGTCTGGGGAGGTGGCCTAGTCAGATAAAAACTGCTTGCCATACAGGCATGAGGCCCTGAGTTTGACCTCAGCACCCACATGAGAAGCCAGGAGTGGTGCACATGCACCTACAACCCCAGCCCTGGGGAAGCAGAGCTTCAGGCCCCCATAAGATACCTTGTCTTAGCAAGCATGGTGGACAGCCCCTGGGGAACAACCCCCAAGGATGACCTCGTATGCACATACACACACAATAATAACAAGCCAAGCTGATGGGTGGGCCTGGCCTGCTCAGGGTCTGAACTAGCTTGGTTTGTAAGGGTTTCACTGGGGCAGTAACCCAGTGCCAGTTGCCCTCCACTGCACACCAGTGTTGACATTGATTGGATGGGTCTGGCTTGAAGATTTGAGCATCACAACTCTAGATGTCTGTCAAAAATGAGTCCTTGGTTTTTCTTTGCTTAACATAAAACACCAGTTACCTCTCAGAGCCAACACTTACTTTCTCATTTTCCCATCCCAATAGCCCAACCTTCTTACTTGAAGATTCACTGTTGGAAATTTTAATTCCATGTACCTGAGCCTGGCAGGTCACAGCACCATCATGTCATTTTAAAATGAAAGTCCCCCAAACACATGTACATTAAAATGTACCTTATCCGGGTATGGTGTCATACACCTTGAGAGGTAGAGGCAAAGGAGCAGGAGTTCAAGGCCATCCTACTGCTGCTTACACATTCTAAGCCTGGGGTGCATGAGACTGACCCTAAAGGAGCCAGGGAGATGGCTCATCAGATAAGAGCATTTACTACAGAAGCATTAGGACCCGAGTTCACATCCAGAGTACCCACATAAAATGTCAGTTGTAGATGTATGCTCCTTCACCCCTAGCACTGTGGAGGACAGTGCTTGCTGGCCACTAGCACTGCTCCCAGTGGGAGACCCTGCCACAAGGGAGAATGATAAAGCAGGGCACTGGACATCCTTTGGCCTCTGCTCATGAACATAGACATGTACCACCACCCACTAAATAACAAAGGAGTTGCTTACTTCACAGAAACACCAAGAACCAACCAAAGTATTGCATGAACTAGTGGTAATGGGCACATTTCCACACCAGGTGGTTTGTTGGGAAAAACAAAGAACTCTGGTTCCAGAATCTGCCAGGCAGCACCATGAGCAGTGCCAGGAAGCATGGTGGTTTATAGGGGCTTCCTTTTCTAGCCCTGGTACTGGTGAACAAAATGAAGGGGGTTGTTCCAGCTGTCACCTTAACACCTTTACTGTGTCACCCAAATGAACATGATGCCAGCCATTTGAGATCTTAGCAGAGCTGTTTCATGAGACTGAGCATCTCAGTAACTGGTTCTCTCCTTTTCATTCGGTCCTTGGTGTGTGGTTAGTTTCTACTGTCTACTGCCCAAACCTAGACTCAGTTGGGAAGAGTCTCAAGGGATTGTCTAGAAAAAGTTGGCCTGTGGGCAATCTGTTGGGAGGTAGGGGTCTCTACTGTACACAGAGCTGGGCTGGCACCCAGTTAAAACCCAGTGATCCTACTTCCCCTCCCCACTGGGATCACAAGTACACCTGAACATGCGTAGGATTTTATGTATGCACCTGAGATTTGAACTCAGATCCTCATGCTTGAGTAGACAGGGTCTCGTGTGTCCCACAGTGACCTCTAATTGTTCATTGCTGTGTAGCTGAGGGTGACCCCGGTACTGGTCCATTTGCCTCCATCTCCTGAGTGCTGGGGTTATAGCTGGGCACCACCAGCCCTGGTTTTTATAACCCAGCACTGAAAATGGAACCCAGAGCCTCCTGAATGCTAGGTATGCACTCTGCCAACTGAGACATATCCCTAGCCCAAAAACCCAGCTTTTGAAATCTGCTGCAAGAAATGCAAAGGACCAGGGGACAGTGGATGGCAGCCCTCCCCTGGCTCAGCCTTCCCCAGCATCACCTCTCATTGCCGGCTGGAGCCCAAAATAACTCAGGTTTATTTTTGAGCTTAGCTTCTTGGGTAAGAAGCAAATGAAAACAAGCTTTCAATCAAGAGGCTTGTTTTAAAAGGCAATTTCCAAGAAACATCTAGGAGTCACTGCGGGTTCAGCCCCACCCAGCATGCCGTGTTCCCTGTGATAGTTGGCAGGTTACAAGCCCCCTGCTTCAGGCTGCAGAGGGGTTGTGTTTTCCCCAGGGGTTTTGTTTTACTAGGATTTATTACTGCATTTGTATGCAAGTGTGCCATGGCATATGTGTGGAGGTCAGAGGGCAACCTTGTGGAATCCATTCTTCCACATTTATGTAGAAGATCAAGCAAGTTGTCAGACTCACAGGGGAGACACCTTTACCCACTGAGCCATCACAAGGGCCTGGGTTTTGTTCTACTTAGTATACCTCCAGCCTCCCACCCTGTGGAGAGGTTAAGTGTGTGAAAGCTTCCAGAAGCTTCAACAGAGCTGAGTGGGGGCTGCCCAGAAGTTGGGGTCCAAGTCCCCAGCCATCTGTGCATCTTCTTAATCTGCCTATTTTCTTGCAGAGTTCAAAGAACACAGTGAGCAAGGGTATGCGGCTTGTTTAGGGCACATAGCCTAAATTTCACTCAGCTCCATGTTGCTGAGCTATAGTGATATATTGTTTATGACCTAATAAAGCTTGCCTGGAGATCAGAATGCAAAGCCATAGAGGCTGGGCAGTGGTGGCACACACCTTTAATCCCAAGACTCAGGAGACAGATGGATCTCTGTGAGTTCAAGGCCACCCAGGGATACATGAGAGAAACAGAGCTCACACCTTAATCCAAGCACCAGAGAGGTATATAAGATAGGAGCAGGGTCTCAGACTTGGCACTTAGTCTCCAGCCACATTGAGGTCAGGATCACCCCAGCCTTTGTAGAGCTATCTGGTGGCTTGGCTGCTTTGCTTCTCTGATCTTCAGCTTGAACCCCAATATCTGTTCCTGGGTTTTTATTATTTACTCTACACTGAGGTTACCAGCTCAGCTTCTGTAGGCATAACATGGGAGTGGCATGCTATGCACACTCAAATTCGCATGTGAGGCTGGGGTGGCAAGATGGCTGAACCGGAAAGTGCTTGCCATACAAGTCTGATGACCTAAGTTCAATCCCCCACGAGGTGAACTGACTTCAAAAAGAGTTTTCTTCTGACCTCCACATGCATGCCACAGCACATGTGTGCCTTCATCTGCCCATTCACACACACCAAGACTTGAATAAGAGAAGTGACCTATCGGACACCACATATTCCCTGCACTTAGAGGCTAAGAGGCGTGGCAAGGCATGGTGGTAGACACCCATAGTCTCTACACATGGGAGGCTGAGCAAGACAGCAAATTCCAGCCAGAGGAGATAGAGCAATACCATCTCAGCCAGCAAAGTACTTAGGATCTGAGTTTGATCCCCGGGAACCAAGTAAAAAACCTGGCCATGGTGGCATGTAACCCGACAATGGAGATGTGGAGACAGGCAGCTCTAGAAAGGCTCACTGGCCAGCCAGTCTAGTTTATGTGGCAGGTTCCAGGCTAGCGAGAAACTATCTCAAAAAGGAAGATAGACATTCTCAAATAATTAATAAAAATATTTTTAAAATAGCAAGATGGGCCAGGCCTGTTGACACACATCTTTAATTACAGCACTGGGGAAGCAGAGGCAGGTGGATTTTGAGTTAGAAACCAGACTGAGGAGAGGTAATGATCGCCCACACCTTTAATCCCAGCACTCAAGAGGCAGCGGGGGTTGGATCTCTGTGAGTTTGAGGACAGCCCGATCTATAGAGCTAGTTCCAGGACAGCTAGGGCTGTTATACAGGGCTGTCTCAAAAAAAGAAAAAAAAGAAAGGAAGGAAGGAACCAGACTGGGAGGCTAGAGAGATGGCTCAGAGGTTGAGAGCACTAGCTGGTCTTCCAAAGGTCCTGAATTCAATTTCCAATAATTACATTGGTGGCTCCCACTATAATGAGGTCTGGTGCCCTCTTCTGGTGTGCAAGCACATGCTGACAGAATACTGTATTCACAATAAATAAATATTAAGAAAAAGTTTATGCTGTAGAGGATGTGGAGAAAGAACACTCCTCCATTGCTGGAAGGAATACAAACTTGTACAGACACTTTGGAAATCAGTGTGGCAATTTCTCAGGAAAATGGGAATCAGTCAGTCTACCTTAAGATCCAGCAATTCCACTCTTAGGCCCAAAGGATACACATTCATACCACAAGGATATCTGCTCAACTATGTTCATAGCAGCATTGTTTGTAATAGCCAGAACCTGGAAGCAACCTTGATGTCCCCCAACCACAAAATGAAGAAAATGTGGTATATTTATACAATAGAGTACTACTACTCAACAGAAAAGAAACAATGAAATATTGAAATTTGCAGGCAAATAGGTAGAACTAGAAAAAAACCATCCTGAGTGAGGTAACCCAGTCACAGAAAGACAAACATGGTATGTACTCACTCATAAATGGATATTAGACATAGAGCAAAGGATCACCAGCCTACAATTCACAACCCCAGAGAAGCTAGGAAACAAGGAAGACTCAGAGACAAACATGGATCCCGGAGAAGGGGAAAGGGACAAGCTCTCCTGAGTGAATTGGGAGCATGGGGAAATGGGTATGGAGGAAGGAGAAAGGAGAGGAGAAAGGGAGAGGGAAGGAGGACATGAGGGAACAGGAAGGTCGAGTTGAGGGAAGAATAGAGGAGAGCAAGAAAAGAGATTCCTTAATAGATGGAGCCATTATAGGTTTAAGGAGAAATCTGGCACTAGGGAAATGTCCAGAGATCCACAAGGATGACCCCAACTAAGAATCTAAGCAATAGTGGAGAGGCTACCTTAAATGCCCTTACCCTATCATGAGATTGATGACTACCTTAAATACCATCATAGAGCCTTCACCCAGGAAATAATTCATGTAAGGGGAAGCAGAGATCCACAGCTAAGCACTGAGCTGAACTCCTGGAATGCAGTTGCAGAGAGGAAGCGGTCAAGACCAGGCTGGGGAAACCCACAGAAACAGCTGACCTGAGCAAGGGGAGCTCACAGACACCAGTCTTACAGCTGGGGAACCAGCATAAGCCTGAACCAGGCCCCCTGAATGTGGGTGTCAGTTAGGAGGCCTGGGCAGTCTATGGGGCCTCTGGCAGTGGAACCAGTATGTATCCCTAGTGCACAAATGGGCTTTGAGATCATTCCCTGTGGAGGGATACTCTCAGCCTAGATACACAGGGAGGGCCTAGGTCCTCCCCAAATGATGTGACAGACTTTGATAATCCCCCATGGGAGCCTCACCCTCCCTGAGGAATGGATGGGGAGATGGGAGGGAGAGGGAACTGGGATTGGTATGTAAAATTGTTTTTAAATAAAACTTAATTTAAAAAAAGAAAAAGAACAAAGAAACCAAACTGGTCTACATAGTGAGTTCCAGGCCAGCCAGGGCTATAGAGACCCAGTCTCAAAAAGGTTAACCTCAGTCTGCACACTCACACACACGTTCCTTTTCAAGACCTTTCCTGTTCTCCCCAGGCAGACTTGGACACAGCTGTGAGTCCCTCCAAACCCTGGCTATCTCTGCCTGTTGGATCTACAGAGTGGTTCACCTTGGCACTGCTTGAAGACCTTCTGTATGTGAACACATTCCCTGGAATGTTCTAGTGTCCCCTTTGACCTCAGCATGATCTAAGTTTGGACTTTAGCTTTACCCAGCTCCCCAGCTAACCTACTGGGGTTATGTATTTTTAAGCACTTGGGGGGGGGGGTCTTTCATCCACAAAGGTCTGTGTCCTAGGGGACAGACAGTATTCACAGCCACTACTCCATCTTCTGTCCCCAACAGGAACAAAATACTAGCCTTTGGGCTGCAGGTAGAAGACAGAACATCAGGGTAGCTGAAGAGGTATCCACAGCCATGGTCTGCCACTCCCCCAATAAAGCCGGCTAGCATAAGGAAGCATATGATTGGTACCCTGACAACATAGGGGACCTGCGAGAGCTGGCAGCATGAAGGGCAGGAGGGCCAGAGATTCAAGGTTGTCCTTGGCTACACAATGAGTTAGAGATCAGCTTGGGCTACTGAAACCTTATCTCAAAAAGGGAAAAAAAAATATCCATGAGGGGATAGGGGTTATGATAGCAACTGGGGGGCAGAGCCTGGCAGGAAGATCAGTGGTAACGTCCCCTTAAAGGGTGGATAGTTCCCAGCTCCCTTCTGCTTTGCTTCCTGGCCTCCATAAGGTGAGCATCTCTCCACACACACACTCCCCGACCATGATGTTCCTACCTTCCCACAGCCTAAAAGCCATGGAGCCAGCCTGCCACAGATGAGGCCTGGGAAGCTGTGAGCCCAGCCAAACCTTCCCTCTTCTAAGTTGATTTGATCGCGTGTTTCATCACAGCAACGAGAAGGAATCTAACACAGCCACTCACACCTACAATATGCACATGTTGCCCTCCACTTGCCAAGACCCTCACCCTCCCTCCTCAGACAGTGAGACTGGCATTGTCAGCCAGCTGGGACATTTGAGAACAATGAGGGTCACCAGGAAAACGTGTGTGTGTGTGTGTGTGTGTGTGTGTGTGTGTGCGCGCGCGCGCACGTGTGTTTAAAAGAACTTCAACAATACATGACACAGACACAAAGGAAAAACAGCCTGTGGATGAATAATTTTAATACTACTCTTCTGTCAGCAGTTTATAGACTCAGACATGAAAATGCCATCAAAGACAGGAGAGCAGAGTCCCCACCCCCACACTCATCTAACTGGCAGTGATGGTACAAGCAGCAGCCTCAGGGTTGGAGAAAGGGCCTCCCTGCCTTCCACACCCAACCCCACCACCTCACAGGGCACGAATTTCTCTAGGACCTTCACAAAGACCTGTGCCAACCTTGATGAGCCAAAAGTCATTCTCGCCATACAGAAAAGAACCCGTATGAGTGACACAAGGTTGAAAAAAAACAGTGCTGGATTGATGGCTCAGACATTAAAGGTGTGTACTGCACTTGTAGAGAGCCTGGGTTCCACTGCAAGCTCCCACACATGATGGCTCACACTTCCTGTAATGGCATCCAGAGATTCAGATGCCCTCTTCTGGCCTCTGTGGGCAGCTGCAGAGAGACAGACACAAGCATACACACAGCCACATAACACATGCCGCAGAGTGGTCCAGAGCTCCACCTCTAAGTAATTAGACCAGAGCCCCCTCCTGTAGGGAAGCAAGCAAGCAAGCATGTGGCTACCTCCTGCCTCTTGGCCATGGCTGCAGGCCACATAACATGAGGACCCTGTGGTCAAGCACCCAAGGAAGCATTTCTTCAGCCTCTGGGGACATTTCTTTTAACCCAGAAGATACCAGAGTACCCTCAGTCACTGGTCAGGCATGGTCAGTTGGTATCTTCAGGAAAAAAAATGCCAGGAGCTGACTTCCTTGTATGGGATGGTTCATTAGTTATCCACCCCCCAGCGGCAGTGGGAAGAACTGGCCTTGGCAAGTCTTCGAGAGCTCAACCTCTGCCTCAGGGAAAAGAACCTGTCGCCCAGCACCCTGCGTAGCCCCACATTATCTTTGCCACAGGGCAGGTGCTGCCTGGTGACTGGGAGCTGCCCTGTGAACATCTCCCACTGGCCCATGGCATCCACAGCTGCATCTATGTGGACCAGCTCCTCTTCAGCCACTTCCCTCTCCAGGGCCCGGATGCATGCATCCAGCCACTGTCCATACTCCTCGATGGCCTCCACCGGGCCCCCAAGCTTCAGCATCACTTCTGAGGCTGCCAGAGAGCTCAACCCATCCTCAGACCCTGGTTCAGGCCCATCAGGGAAGGCATGACTCCATGCATCCGGGGTGACAGGCTCCAGTGGACTGGTGACAGGCTCTGTGTCACTCTCGCAGCCCATGCCTGAGTCAGCACTGAAAGGCAGGGTGTCATCTGACACAGATGGTTCCCCTGTCTCTTGGCCAGACCACATCTCCACCATCACCCGGGTCCAAGTGTGGAGTCTCTATGGAAAGAGACATAGACGGATTGCTGTTTAGCCAGGGAGCTGCTGAGGACCACCCCAGAGCCAGCAGGAGGCTGGAGCCATAAGGGCCCTTGAGTTGGGCCTATCTGAGGTCTAGAGTCCAGGCCACAGTTGAGCTGAACCTCCTAACTCCCAGAAACCACCCTTCACAGGTACTCGGCAAGCTAGCTATTAGCCAGCCAATGCTCAGAGATAAATTGCACAAAAATTATAGTTAATCTGAACTGTGTGTGTCTGTGCATGTGTATATGCATGTGTTTGAGCACACAAGTGGGGGGGCACACATGCATGTAGAGGCCACAGATCAACACTAAGCCCCCTCATTTTTGAACCATTTTTTGAGACTGACCCTAGAGCTCACCATGGTTAGACTGGCTGGGATTAAAGGTGTGGCATGCACCACTACTCCACTTTTTACATAGGTGTCACAGATCCAAATTCAGGCCCTTATACCAACACCACCCCCGCCATCTTCCCAGCCCCTAGAGTTAAAACTTTTGTTTCCTCCCCCCTTTTATTTTTATTTAATTTTGTCTTTTTGTTCTTGCTCTTTAAAAAAAAAAAAATTTAGCTAGACATGATGGTGCACGCCTTTAATCCCAGCACTTGGGAAGTAGAGGCAGGCGGATCTCTGAGTTCAAGGCCAGCCTGCTCTACAGAGTGTGTTCCAAGACAGCCAGAGCTATGTAGTTGAGGCCCTGTCTCAAGAAAACAATTTATTTTATGTGTACATATATGTGCCTGCCTGTACATATGTGCACCCATGCATGTAGGTGCCCCCAAAGACCACAAGAGGGCATCAGATCCCACAGAGTTGGAGTTAACTGGCAGTTGTAGGTACTGAGAATCAAGCTATTAACCACTGAGCCATCTCTCCAGCTGAGTTAAAACTTTAAGGCAAAGGGAAGAATCAACACACTTCCAACCCTAAATGCCACCTACCATCAGCTGTGCTGTGACGTTTGTAAGGATTCAGGCATTATGCTGGACCACCCCTGTCACCTGACAGAATGCACTCAGGCAGTACTCTGGTCAGCCCAGGGTTCCATGAGTACTAGTCTGCAGGCAGGTGTAAAGGACCCCTTTAAAAGACAGACCCCTGCCCACTTATGCTCTTTTGCTTTCTCTTTTTGCCTTCCAGCTCTTTCTTTCTCTGTCTGTCTGTCTCTCTCTCTCTCTGTGTCTGTCTTTGCTTTCTCCCTCCTGCTCCCAGTGTCTCTGTCTCTTCCCTTCTCCCTCACTCCCCTTTTTAAATAAACTCCTCATTTAAACTCTATCTGCCTGGCGTGTTATTCCCTCCACCTCAGTCACCCTCACCTGCTATGGAACCTGCTATGCTCTCCCACGTGGTCCCTTACCTTGGAATCCCACTCACTAGGGATCCACACACAGGACCATCACCACCCCCTTTCTCCAGCCTTTATTCCTACAACTGTAACAAAAGAACAACATTAGCTTCCTATAGTACATACCCAAAGGGACACCCTCATGTGACAAGATGCAGCCATGTCCCACTTTTGCTGTGAGGCTAGACTTAAGTTAGCTCTGTGTCCTCTGACAGAATCCCCAGGGACTGTCCCAGTGACTCTGAACAGTCTCCACCTCCTGTGACAGCCAGGAAGGCCAGAGCCCCTCTGTGCCCCATCCCCAGGAGAACTTGGCCACCCCAGGGTGCCAGCTCAATCCCTAGTGTGATCTGACAGCAAGCAACTCCATCACAAATCTTCAGGGAGGGGCACCCAAGATAACCCAGTACGAAGGGCTCTCGCCACCAAACCTGAGTTTGACCCCATGACTTCCATCCTTTCAACTCCATATGTACACCATGGCCCGTGTGTGCGCAAATAAATAAATAAAATGTATAAAACTGGAGGGAGCTGGAGAGATGGCTCAGCAGTTAAGGCTACTAGTTATTCTTCCAAAGGACTCAAGTTAGATTCCCAGCATCCATGTGGCAATTCACAACTATCTGTAACTCTATTTTCAAGGAATCTGACACCCTCTTCTGGCATCCATGGGCACCAGGCACACACATCGTACACAGAAATACATGTAGGCAAAACACCCATACACATGAAAATGAAAATACATGAATCATTCCTCCTCCTCCTTCTCTTCTTCTTCTAGACAGAGTCTTTTGACTATGTAGCCCTGGCTGCCCTAGAACTCCCATGTAAACCAGGCTGGCTTCCAGCTCACAGAGATTCATTCACCTGCCTCTGCCTGCTCTGTGCTGGAACTAAAGGCATGCACTACCACACCTGAGCTAAATAAATCTTTATAAAATATTTAAAAAGAAAAAACCTGAGGGTGAGGAGGCTTCCCCCACTAGTAAACTGAGCCTTGAATACAGAGAATTTTTACACAGACAGGAATATCTCCTCCCTGCACTGAAAACTTTTAACTTGATTTCAACCAAAGATGGACTTCAAATGAAAAAAAAAAAAAATATAGGCAGCACTTGCCTTTGATCTAGAAGTCAAGTGGCCTAGTTTGCAAACAAGCCTTCCAGCAGAGATGAAATGGGTAAAACTTGCAGGAAGGTGGGGTGGTGTGTGTGTGTGTGTGTGTGTGTGTGTGTGTGTGTGTGTGTGTGTGTGTTGTGTGTTGGTGTTTCCAGCAGTACTGTATGCTGACAGAGAGGGCAGCATCCCCTCACCAGCCCAGCCAAGAGGGGCTCTGCAGCTGGCTGCCCTTTTGGACACCACAGCTTGCTATGCTTCCCTTTTCTCCCAGGGGGCCACACTGCCTCTGGGTACAGGATCCTCAGTATCCACCAAGGAACACGGGAGAAGAAACATGGGAGGAGCTCGCCTGAGCTCTGTAAACACACCCTTCTTGGGGGACCATCTGCACTTGCTCTCCTCCATTTGCATCCTGATGTCACTGACACCAGCCTGGATGTTTCATCTGCCAGCAAGACCTGCAGTGCCCTCTCCAGTAGTGATGGTGCAAGCATGTCCTTTGGCTGTCCCATACACACATCCAGGTCCTGCAACCTGTTCCCTCCCACTGCCTCTGGGTGGCTGCCCCATACCCCCACATGCTTACCTTGTACCTCTCCAGGAGCCTGAAGCCCAGGAGATGCTGCAGTTTCCGAAGACAGATGGGACAGAGGTCCAGGGGCCGCCTTGTGGCCTCATCCAGGCTAAGTGCCCCCTGCAGGAGGCAGCGGAGCCAGCGACAGCTCCCCAGGCCCAGGAGGTGGCAGAGCTCATGGCAGGTGACCTGAGGAGAAATGACACCATGACCTTGCCTCACACTCTCAGCATGCTGTAACTCCCACCCAGGGATATCTGAGCCAGCTGGCCAACCCTAGAAGTGCAACACCTTGGCTAATGAAGATTACCTGGGCAGGATCCGAGAAGGGCCCACGAGGCATCCTCCTTAATAGCTCTAAGAAGCCACACAGCATGAGGTGACTTAGAAACCAGCCAGACCAGGGGCCAGATCCCAGAATCCTGTAGGTTCATGGGCTGTGTGGCCTTGAACACTTGGGGTCTTTGAGCCTTGGTTTACTCACTCTGTAAAGTGAGGGACTGTTGTGGAAGTATCATGCTCAGATGTGTTACATTTGTCTGTGCTGTGAAACATTGGTTTTAAAGATGCAAAGGTGTGTTGCATTTTGTTGCGTTTGTTTAACTCTGTGAAGATGTGTTACTACTCTGCCTATCTAAAACACCTGATTGGTCTAAAAGAGCTCAACGGCCCACAGCTGGGCAGAGAGACAGCGTCCAACAAGAGTGTGAAAAGGAGCGTCTGAAATCTGCACAGTATGGCTTACAGCTACTGGAGAGGCAAACTGAACCGCAGAAATCAACTGGATAAATGTTGTGAAGCAATGATGACCATGACTGAGAATTATAACCAAGAGCAGCGTGCCCCTCAAAGAGAAGCTGAGCTCAAGAGTCAAATGTCAAAGTTTGGGCTGTGATTGTGAAGCTGTGAAATAACAAAATGCAGCAGGGCAGGAGCAGTTAGAAATGCAGCCAAACAGAAGCCACAGGCAAGAAGTAAAAGTGGAATTAGATGAAGTGAGGTTAAAAAAAAGCAGCAGCCGAAGCAGAAGCTGGATCACCAGGAAGTTATCACCAGGGAGATATCACAAGATATCACAAACTGGGAGAGCTCTGGCTAACGTCTGGGCTCTGGTGACTTTGGAGGTGCTGGCTTTTCAGATTGAGCTACCCGAAATGGAAGGCCTCTCTCCTTACAAGGGCCCTCTGGATTTTTGGCTGTGTTACTTGCCTGTCTAAAATGCCTGATGGTCTAATAAAGAGTTGAACAGCCAATAGCGTGGCAGGAGAAAGGATAGGCGGGGCTGCTAGGCAGAGAGAATAAATAGGAGGCGGAGCAAGAACAAGGAGAGGCGGACTCTAGGGGCCAGCCACCCATCAGCCATGAGTAAGAGATACAAAGTTAAAAAAAAAAAAAAAAAAAAAGCCCAGAGGCAAAAGGTAGATGGAATAAATTAAGAAAAGTTGGCTAGAAATAAGCCAAGCTAAGGTTGAGCATTTTTAAAGAAGAATAAGTTTCCATGTGATTTATTTGGGAGGTGAGTGATGGGCCCCCAAAAGAGTAAAAAACCAAACCAACTTGAACTCAAATTTCATGGCTCCTTTAAAAGTTTCTACCTTGCGGAGTGGTGCACGCCTTCAGTCCCAAGCAGATCTGAGTTTGAGGCCAGCATGGTCTACAGAGAGTGTCAGAACAGGCTCCAAGAAACCATGTCTCAAAAAAACAAAACAACAGCAACAAAAAAAGTTTCTGCCCTACAGAAAGCCTTTGAGCAGCAAGTACATTACAAAAACAAACAAACAAGCTAAGTTTAAAAAAAAAAAAAAAAAAAAAAAACAGGCCCACAGAAGCTCAAGCATAAGCTCCCTAGAGCTAGGAAAGTTTAATGCAGTTTCTGAAACACACCTTCTTTCATGACCAACAGGAGTAGCAGGAGGAGCCAGTGACCAAAGCCACCGGCTGAGGACCACACAGCTTAGCAGTTTCAAAGTCCATGCAGTTTCAAAAGGCTTTGTAAATGATATTCAGTAAAAGAGGATCAGACTGAAAAAAAACCTGTTATCAGGTTCCAGTGTGGTTTACAATGTATGTAGGCTTAAGAAAGAAAAGCAAAAATGGATATAGACACTCATAGAAAGAGATTAAAATAAGAAAGTCTTTAGAGTGACAGTTAAAAAAAAAAAGGCATGTAAAGATGGGAAATACACCTGGAGTCTGGATGCTGTATAGTACTGTGTTGATTTTGAATTTTTTGATTGCTGGTAAGCAAAGGACAGTTGCTAAGAGACCTGGAACCGAAGGAAGGACTGTTGAAATAAACCAGCCTAGATACTTTAGGAATGGCTTAGCTTTAAAATGGAAGTCAAAAAATATATTTGTCAAATGAAAATAAAAAATGCTTTGGAGGAAAGGTTTTGCTTTTGTTTCCATAGGAAACTAGAGGCTGTGGATTCCTTCCAGGTTAGTGTGGTTTGATCAGGGAAGACCTCCTGGATTTTGACAGGTGATAGCCATCAACAAAGGTTACTGCTGGTCTCCCCAGGACTTGGCAATTATCTCAGATTTTCTCAGGGACACTAAAGACGCCAGAAAGCAGTGTGGAGAACAAGACGTCCACATTCCCAAGAGGGGTGTCGGAGGCTTTTGGTTATTTTGTGGGTTATGGATTTATGTCATAATTTAGGGGAGTATAATATATTGATACAAATTTAAAGTTATATTTATTATACTAAGAATATGTTTAAGTTATTGTACCTATTCGGTTTACTTGCAAATATAAGGTAGGGGGCTGAAGAGAGGACTCAGTGGTTAAGAGAACTGACTGCTCTTCCAAAGGACCTAGGTTCAATACCCAGCAACCACAAGGCAGCTAACAACTGTCTGTAACTACAGTTCCAAGGGATCTGATGCCCTCATACAAACATACATGGAGGCAAAATACCAGTGCATATAAAAATAAACAAGCCATTAAAAATTTAAATATATATATAATATATACATATGGTAAAGGTCTAATTTTTGAAAGCTATTATAAACTATGATAATCAAAAACATAGGTTTAAGTAGTCACCAAATCTGTAGCTATATTAGGCATGTTATCTGAATCATACAGAAATATCTTTTAGAAAAATGATCTTCAAATACTCCAAAGACCTATAAAATATGGCATTTAAAATGTTTTGTTAACTCAGGGTTTTTCAACGACAATGAGACACATCTACTCCTGACAGCACCAATTTACTTCATAAGAGAATGATGGGCATCAAAGGAAGTCCATAGGAGTTTGCTCCCACCATGGCAAGACAAGCCATCTGGGCAAGAAACTGCTTTTGCCTTGACTGCTTGACTGAGTGTTGTGCAAACTAGACATGCAGGACCCACAGGAAAATGACTTTGCCAAAACAAGGCAGGACAGTCCTTCAAATTTCCTGCCTTCACTGACAAGTCTGCTGGATACTCCAGGCCTCTAAGCTGAAGATGGATGCCCCAGTGTTGCCGAGGAACTTTGGGTGACTGTCCAGGCAGTCACTTCTAAAGTCTTGGAAGTTGCTTGCAATGCACTTCCTGTTTACTCAGATAATATTATATCCTTCTGGGGTCTTGGATGGAGTTGAAGACTAGATAGTTATAGTTTCAGTTGTCTAATTATGAAAGAGAGTAAATTAAGTATAAAACTTGGGAAGTCACTAAGATGGGTTTGATAGTAGAGTGTTTTCTCTGAATTTGCTAAGTGCAAATGAAATGAATTCTGTAAATTACTTCTTGATAACTGTTTTTGTTGTATATAGTCTTACTATATTAAAGTTAAAACCTTTCATTCTGATTTAGACAAAAAGGGGGAAATGTTGTGGAATATCATTTTAAGGTATATTACATTTATTTTCTGCTGCTATTGTTAACAATGCAAAGATGTGTTACATTTGTTTGACTAAATAAAATGAACCTGGGGTCAAGAGGCTGAGTCAGCAACTAGCTGACAGGAAGTGGTAGGGAGGAACCATGTGTAGCTAGGATTCTGAAGTGGGGCCGAGCAGAAGGACGCCAGGTTTTTCAGGAGACGGGAGTTAGGAGAGGAGGTTAGCTACTTGCCATTCAGCCTCTCTGAGAAAGCAGGATTTCACCTCCACCTTTGAATCCTGAGTTCTATAGATGGGTAGAGATCTAGATAAAGTTTCCTTTAGTAGCCGTGATAGGGCCAGTGCCTGGGGGGACATAATTTCCTCCTAGCTGTGGCAAGGGCAGCTGCACCGCTGCTGGTAACTATGGAGTTCCAGATGCCAATTAGGACAGCAGTTGCTTAAGGGGCAGTGCTGTATTTAATGAAAAACAACAAGAACCCAGCCTCTTTTTAGCACCAACAATGCCAGGGGCTCATCTCTCTGATCCTTCCTGTCCCAGTACTCACCTTGCAGCACTGAACCATGCCCAGGGCACTGAAGCACAGGGTTCGGCCTCCCTCATGTGACAATGTCTCAGGGCCATCCGTGGCTGCCTCCAGCAGGGCTGAGTCGGGAACACTGGGCCCGGCCTGCAGGAACTCCCCAGAGAATCGAGCGAAGCTGCACACACCCACTTCTGGGGAGAGGCCAGAAGAAGGGACAGCCATGGCTCAAGGGGCCCAGGGTAAAACCATCCCAGCATTCCCTGCAGCCCAGGACAGCCTAAAGAGAAACTTATACTCTGGTCCTGCCATGTGCAGTCAATTCTGGGGACCACCCTCTATCCAGGCCCAGTGAGACCATAGCTTCAAGTTCCTGTGCACATATCACCCTGGGGGTGGAGGAGCATGTGCATCATGCCAAGCACTGGTGGGCCTTGGGATCACACCACTCTGCCTCCTGGGCAATAGTTGCTAGGACCTCAGCTCACCATGCCCCGGAAGGAACCTGCCAAAGGTGAAGGTCCAGGTATCATGGGGGTACAAGTCAGCCAGTGTGAGGCCCAACACACACAGTGCATCCCCAGGCTTGTTGTTCTTCAAGAAGGACAGGATACCATCTGCAGGAAGAAGGCCGGGGGTCAGGGTGGGCAGAAGAGCCTCTCATCGGTCTCAATCTGGGCCCAGTCCCTCTTGAAGCTGGATGCTGACAAACTACATCACTGGGGAGACCCAGAACCCAGAGAAGCTATATTGTTAGCCTGAGAACCATGGGCCTGGCCTGCGAGTCAGGCCAGGGATCCCCAGTGCCAGTCATTTCGTGGGTCTCTGTCTCCTAGGTCTTGAGAGCTGATCTGGACACAGCAAGGCCATCACCTTCCAAGTAGAGAGGCTAAAAAGACAGACAGGGGCTGGGAACATTGTCCAATAAAGTACTTGCCATGCCAACATTGAGAGCCTGAGTCTCATCCCCAGAACCCATGTAAGAGAGTTGGTCCTGTGGTTTATAATCCCAGCACTGGGAGGCAGAGACAGGTGGGTCCCTGGGGCTCACTGGCCAGCCAGTCTAGCCAAATTAGCAAGTCCCATGGCAATGAGGAACCTGCCTCAAAAAACAAAATTGTCAATGACTGAAGACCTAACCAAGATTGACCTCTGTTCTAGACACACACACACACACACACACACACACACACACACACACACACATAGAGGCAACCCCAACAAGAATCCAGGAAGGAACAAGCAGCTAAACAGTTACCCAGAATGCCCACATCCAGGTCCCTAGGCTCTGCTGTTATCTCAAACAGCAAGAGGGACCTGCAGTTGTGATTACAGGTGTTAGGAAGACACTGACTCTGCCTTGTCCAGAGAGTTCAGGACAAAGCAAGGTGTCTGAGTCACCAAGGGCAGCAGGAGGGAGACCCAGGTAGCCAGTGAGGCGCGGGAAAGCCAAGAAAGTGGCTGCAAAGGGAAAGAGAGGACATGAGACAGAGAAGAGCTGTGCCACAAAGTGAACAGGGACGGAGAAGTCAATGGGCTGGGTGCTCCTCCATGAAGCTCAAGATGGAGAACAATACAGGACAGGGAAAGAGCGGTATTGGGGTCTGAGAGCCACTGCTAAAGAGGCATAAAGTGGAGCCCTCTGCAGGAGAGTGAGGGAAGAGCATGCTGGAGCCGAATGCAGGCCAGTGGGGGAAGGAGGGGGGAAGTCAGGGACTTCCCTCCCACTGCCTGCATCATTGCCTGAGAATGTCCCGGCTGCATCCCACCAAGTGAGTGGGTAGCTTTAAGCAAGTGTGGATCACGCGAGGAGGGGAGGGAATCAGAGAGTTGTGGGGGGCGCGGGGCAGGCAATGGAGAAGGGAGAAGTCCAAATGTGGGAGAGGACTGAGACACAAGGCGGTAGATAGGGTAAAACCACAGAGCTTCGTGACCAGCACAAGACCATAATAGTCAAGAGGACAGAGGCAGAGTGAGAGATGGGGGAGGGGCTGTCACAGGGAGGTGGTCACAGTCCAAAGAACAGGGTGCTGTGGTTGCGGGCAACAGCAACGTGGGGCGCACCACTGTCCCACCAAGATGGTCTAACCATAATGAGACTTTAAAAGTCTCTAAATGGCAGGCATGGTGACACACGCCTTTAATGTCAGCCCTCTGAAGGCAGAAGGCAGGCAGACCTCTGTGAGCTCCAGGCCAGCCAGGGCTATGTAGTGAGATCCTGCCTCAAAACTAAGTAAATAAAGTCTCAAAACTATTTCTTTAAAAAGTAAACTGATTTTGACACAATATTCGATGGAACCAAAACCATCATAGAAACAGTTGGTTTTGTTTTGTTTTTATCAGGGTTTGTTTGGGCCCTGCATGTGCTCTACCACTGAGCCACAGCCCAGCCCCTCACTGGGGGATTCTAGGCAGGTACTCACCACTGAGCCACAGCCCAGCTCTCTTTTTACTTGTTTAAAACGGATTCTTAGTATGTAGCCTAAATTGGTCTCAACTCACTCTGTAGCCCAGGCAGGCCTAAAACTTTAAATCCTCAAGCCTTAGCCATGCACTACTCCCTCAGCTGACCTCAATGAACTTTTCCTGAGCCAGACATCTGCTAAGAAAGCAGGGCCAGGAGAAGCCCAGCCCACAGTGCAGTGAATCTGAGGTGTTCCACAGGCAGGAAACAGACCCCAGAGAGACTCTGCCTGCTGCTACTGGGTTCCACACCCAACACAGGATTCCAACTGCCCTCAAGACTCACAGAACAGCCCAGAAAAGAATCATGTCTTTGTCATACATGGCCCAGCAGGGGGAAGAGAAACCCCCTCTGAAGGAAAACTATCCCAGGACATAGATTCTCCCGGGAAATGCTTTTTCAAAAACAAGCATCGACTAGCAACCAAAACTAGTAAGTCTCTGGGCACTGTGGTGTGCACCTTTAATCTCAACACGCAAGAAGCTGAGGCAGGGGGATCACAAGCGCAAAGCCAGTCTGGGCCACCGAGCTTCCTGTCTTAAAAATCCACAAAAGCAGGGAGGGGTGGAAGATTGGCTCAGTCCCAGCACCCTCATGGAGTCCCAGAGCCTCCTGCAACTCCAGTTCCAGGGGATGCGATGCCCTCTGGCCCCTGGCACCTGCATGTATGTGATCTACATAAACTCACACAAGCATACCCATAGATAAAAAGAATAACATTTAAAGCTAGAAAAGAACATGGAGAGATGGCTCGGCCTTTAAAAGCACTGGCTGCATTTTGCAGAGGACCTGGGTTCAGTTCCCAGCACCTACCAGTGACTCATAACCACCTGCAAGTCCAGATCCAGGGGGATCTAATGCCCCCTTCTGACCTCAGCAGGCACCAGGCATGAATGTGGTGTGCATATATATATATATATATAAAACTGAATCTTTGTTTGTTTTTTGAGACAGGACTTCTCTGTGTAGCCCTAGCTATGCTGGAACTCTCTCTGTAGACCAGGCTAGTCTCGAACTCACAGAGATCGGCCTGCCTCTGCCTCCCAAGTGCAGGGAAGATTAAAGGCATGCACCACCACCGGTTGTAAATAAATCTTTTAAAGTCTTAATTATTATATAAGTAAGTCAGGAGTGGTCATTTGTGACTATAATCCCAGCATTTGAGAAGGCAGAGACAAGTGGACATCAGCAGCTCACTGCTTAGTCAGCCTGGCTGACTTGACAAGGTCCAAACCAGTGAGAGACCCTGTCTTAAGAAAACAAAGTGGAGGGGGGTGGAGAAATGGCTCAGTAACTCAGAACACTAGCTGATCTTCCGGAGGTCCTGAGTTCAATTCCTAGCAACCACATGATGGCTCACAACTATCTGGTGCCCTGTTCTGGTGTGCAGGCACACATGCAGATAGAACACTGTGTACAAAATAAATAAAACTTTTTAAGAGAGAGAGAGAGAGAGAGAGAGAGAGAGAGAGAGAGAGAGAGAGAGAGAGCTGGGCAGTGGTGGCACACTCTAACCCCAGCACTCGGGAGGCAGAAGCAGGCAGATCTCTGTGAGTTCAAAACTAGCCTGGTCTACAGAGGTAGTTCCAGGACAGGCTCCAAAGCCACACAGAGAAACCCTGTGGGGAGAGAGAGAGAGAAGAAAAGAGAACAAAGTAGGGATGGAGAGATGGCTCAGCAGTTAAGAGCACTGGCTGCTCTTCTAGAAGTCCTGAATTCAATTCCCAGCAACCACATGTCTATAACTTCTGGTTCAAGGGATCTGGCACCCTCATACAAACGTGCATGCAGGCAAAAGGCCAATGTACACAAAGATAAAATAAATCTTTAAAAAATTAAGAAATGAGAGGGAAAGAGGGATGGGTGGAGGGAGAGGGAACTGGGATCGATATGTAAAATAAAAAGAAAAAAGAAAAAAATTAAGAAAACAAAGTGGACCAGCTCCTGACAAATGATATCTAAGGCTGTCCTCTGGTTTACACACACGTACACACACACACACACATACACACACACACACATACACACACACACACACACACACACACACACACACACCCAAAGCCCATCAAAACATTCCTTCCCTCTCCAGGGCTCCTTCCTTCCAACTTTTCTTTCCAGAAGGGTCTATTGTTGCATAGTGAAGCCCCAGGATGTCCCCCACACCCTGCCTCGCTCACCTGTGTGAAGCTGGAGCCCATCAGTGTCCTTACTGGGTCTTGACAAACAGTGGATGGACGCAGCGGCCACTGAGGGCAGGCACTTAACTCGAAGGCCCAGGAAGAAAGCCTCTGCACAGTTTCGAAGGTGGTCCAGCAGGGGGCATCCCGCCAGACCCTCACTCAGATCTAGGTGAATAGAAACACATCAGCCTGCTGCGACCTCCTGCTCAGTGAGTCTCATTCGTGCTGGCCCTTTGGGTGAAGAAGGCAGGGATGACAGTCCTGTGTGATAACTCAGGGAGGGTGAAGGCATCTAAGCTGGCCAGAAGAGGGCAGCTGGCATAGCTAGAAGTTAACAGGTCCCAGGCCAAGAGAAGGCAGCCTGGCTAGGGCAGAGGGGCACCAGCTGATAGCCTCTAAAGGGAGGGGCACACACTCACTGTGTGCTACTTGGACAGGGTCCCCAACACAGCTAGAAGTGAAGCTGGGGATGTGGCTCAGTTGGTAAAATGCTTACCAAGCATGGACAAGGGTCTGGGCTCCATCCCCATCACTGCACAACACTGGGCATGGTAGTGCACAGCTGTATCCCAGCACTCAGGAGGTGGGGGTTGGAGGGGCAGGAGGGACAGAAGTTCAAGGCCAGCCCAGACTAAGAGGGATGGAGAGATGGCTCAACAGGTGAGAGCCCATACTGCTCTTGTAGAGGACCCAAATTCAATTTCCAGCACCCACGTTGGGCAGCTCACAACTGCTTATAACTCCAGCTCCAAAGGGATCAGACATCTCTAGCCTCTCAGAGCACATGTACTCATGTGCACAAACTCACACAGAGACACAAATACACATACTGAAGATAAGGAAGAAGCCAGGCAATGGCAGCACACGCCTTCAATCCCAGCACTCGGGAGGCAGAAGCAGGCGGATGGATCACTATAAGTTTAAGGACAGCCTGGTCTACAGAGTGAGTTCCAGGATAGCCAGGGCTACACAGAGAACCCCCTATCTTGAAAAACCAAAAAAAAAAAAAAAAAAAAAAAAAAAAAAAAGGAGGGGGAGGGAAAGGAGAGAGGGAGGGCAAAAGACAGGTCCCTAGGCCCACCCTCGCCCTCCAACCCACAGATGACATGGACAGAAGGACTGAATCTAAAGCAGGCATGAGCAGTCTGCAGGCTGAAGGATGCTGGGCATCAGGAACCACAGTGGCTGTGGCACTCTGGTCCTAAGCATCAGGAAGGAACTGTGGGAGAACCCAGGCTGGTCACTGAGGTACCATTCAAAGGGACAGGACAAAGCAGGGCATGTCAGGGTCTCAAAAAATCTGTGCCTCCTGTCCTCCACCACAAAACTAATAACCACAAGTGCCCTGTGTGTCCCAGTGCCAGGTAGGGACCTCCTAACTTTGGTGTACTGAGAACACAGGGGCCAGCTTGTCCCTCCTCCCCCTCCAGCACCTGGCTGAGCCATTTTCTCAGCCCTGGTTGCCCCCACTCCCTCCAGTAGCTGCCAATAAGGAGAGCTGGAGGATTCACTGGAGGTCCCCAATTCCTCTCCATTCCCGTCCAGTGTCTTCTAAGAGATCATGAGAATCCAGCTCTGCCACCGGGCAAGCCAGCAGCATCTCCAACCTCAGCTTCCAGCCTGTGAAATGATAGTTCCTGCCCTCGGCACCCACAGAGACCCCCGGCACAGGACCTGGGTTATAACCAGGTCATGGTCAGGACTATGAGCACACACCTAAATGGCCCATGCAGATAGAATGGGGAACCCTAAAAAGGCAAGCCACTCAAGCTGGTTGTTGGTGGCACACACCTTTAATCCCAGTACTCAGGAGGCAGAGGCAGGCAGATATCTGTGAATCTGAGGCCAGCCTCGTCCACAGAGTGAGTTCCAGGACAGGCTCCAAAGCAATACATAGAAACCCTGTCTCAAAAAAAAAAAAAAAAAAAAAAAAAAAAAAGGCAAGCCACTCCACCCCACCTGAGTACCCAGCAGACCTCAAGCTGTTGACTTCAAGTCACTTCTGCCTGGGTCTATTTCTTACTGAGGGATTCTAGGCAGGTGCTCTAGCACTGAGCCACACACCAGCCCCTCACTGAGGGATTCAGCAGGTGCTCTACCACTAAGTCACACCCCCAAGAGTTCTGATGACTCCTGCCCAGCTCTCATACCTATAGGCTGCAGGTAAATGTGTTTCCGGGCCAGGTTCTGCTTTCGAGGCTGCAGAGAAGCATGGAAGGTTTCGAAATCCTCAGGGGCCTCTGGACGACTCAGGAGCCAGTCAAAGGCTGAGTGGATGAACAGAGTGCTGAAGAGGGTCCGGTGAGGGTTGTAGGCCTCGGATAGGAAGAGCCTCTCCGATGGGGAGAAAGCTGAGGTGTAGAGCTGCTTCAGGGCCAGATCACGGGAGATCAAAGCATCCTTCAGGGCCCGGGGCCCAAAGCTGAACTCCTGGGGTGGTCTACACTGCAGCATGGTGTGTGTGTGGCCCTTGGCCACTCCCTGCAACTCCTTTTCTGGCCCATGAGTCTCCCAGGGGACAGCCACGGTCTCTTCTAGAACCTTCCTTCAGGCTGACAGAGTATCTGCTTGGGACTTCCAGGGACAGAGACTGAACTGACAGCCTGTGTGACTCAGTTCTGCCTTGTGCTGGAACTTCTTGGCAAGGCAAGCAAAAGCCTGCTGACACCTGCAGAGGACACCCGAGGCACACGGTCACTGTTCTGATCACAAATGACTCTCTCAGACTAAGGGCAGCTTTCTGTGAACTGGAGTCAGAATGATGCCATCTACAGCTAGGAGGTAGCATTTGCCCAGTCGGGTCAGAAGGGATGCATGCATGCCTGTGCCTGTGTATGGTGTGTGCATGCCTGTGGAGGCCAGAGGTTGACGCAAATCTATCACTCTCCACCTTACTTTTGGGAAAAGAGTCTCTCCCTGAACCCGAAGCTTATAAATTGGTTAGCAAACATGCAGACATGCCACCTCAGTTTGTCACATGCTTTGTCCCCATGCTTATGTGGCAAGTGTTCTACCCACTGAGCCACCTCCCCATCCCAGAACTGAGCATGAAGATGCTCTATTTCCACACAGATCTATATTTCCATGGGACCCCAACTCTGCTTTGAGCCCTCAAAGTTAGGGACATGAAAGGAGGCCTCTACCCTTCAAGGCTAGGAGGGCTCCTTCAAAAAAGCCAGAGGCTGCTCTTCCTGCCTTTTACAATCATAAAACGAATCCTGTTCCCCTGTGAAGGTGCCCAGACCCTCCCCTAAACCATAGGCTTTCTTTCAAGAGCCCTGAGTGCACCCAGGGGCTGTCCTCTGGGGAGGAAGGCAGCCCGATGTCTCCCAGACCCTGGTTTCTAGAATATTAACAAGGCTCTAAGACACATATCTAACAGGCAAGAACCAGCATGCATATGGCACCCAGCGAATTATAACTGGAGGCAAGCAGCCAGGCGGACAGGCAGAGGGGCTGCAAGCCGGGGCAGTCGCTGTTAACCAGAGCTCTCCCTAGGAGTGAAGACTGGCACGTGGGTGCTTTCATCTGGTCGTGCTTGGCTCCAACATCAGGCTGCTTTGGGCTTCCTTTGCATCTCAGAGTGGTCAGCTCAGGCGGGAACATAGGGCGGGCAGGCGCTGCTGCCTGCCTCCCCTGCCCCAGCATGGTCAGCTCCCAGAGGGGAGGAGGGGGTGCAGCCCCAGAAGCCCTGCAGGTGCTGAGCGCCTGACTCCTCGCACATCTCACCAACCTATTTTTGTTTCCAGATGCCAATCACACCACCTACTTAGACTCCTTGCTCTGCCCCAGACCTGCTCACAAACACAGCACCCCAAGCTTAAGCCAATTAAGGCAGGAGCCGTGCTTCTGAATTACCCCTCAAGGTTGCAGCTGCTTCTTCCTTCCTTCCTTTCTCTCACACTGTCTCTCCCTGTCTCTCCCCCGCCCTCTCTCTTTCTCTCACTGCTAGAGATGGAACCTGGGTCCTGATGCAGGGTAGGTAAACCCTATCCTTGAGCCATACCTGTAACTGCTCAATGGGAGGGTCAAAGCAGGTGCTTCACCGCAGAGCCACACCCAAGCCCCTCACTGGGGGATTCTAGACAGGTGCTCTACCACTGAGCCACATCCCCAAGCTCAGAATTACCCTTTCTGTAACTTGAAATTGTCTATGTGTTATTTGTCTGGAGTAACCTAGGAGGGTCCCCACAGCTTCCTCAAGAGGAGAAAAGAAGGGAGGTCCTGGCATCACAGACATCCTGAACCACTCTGATTAACATCTTGTGTACCTCGTCTGCCATTCTGAAAATCCCTCAGTATCTAGGTGGTGGTGCACACTTTTCATCCCAGCACTCAGGAGGCAGAATCAGGCAGATCTCTGAGTTCCAGGCCAGCCTTGTCTACAGAACAAGTTCCAGGACAGCCAGGACTACACAGAGAAACTTCTGTGTTGGGGGGGGGGAACCACAAAAAAAAAAAAAAAAACAAGGAAGAAAGAAAATCCCCTGGAGATCACTGTGTGTGAGCTCTGTGTGTGTGCGCATGCGCGTGTGAGAAAGAGAGAGAGAGAGAGAGAGAGAGAGAGAGAGAGAGAGCGCGAGCAAGCGAACGAGAGAGAGAGAGAGAGAGAGAGAGAGAGAGAGAGAGAGAGGTAACACAGAGGCCAGAGGTCAACGTCAGCTGTTCTCCTCAATCATGTCCCATGTTATTTTTGAGGCAGGGTTTCTCATTGGACCTGCAGTTCACTAATTCAGCTGGACTAGCTGTCCATGGAGCTCTGAGGAACCTCCTATCTCCACCTCCCCACAACAGTACTACAGTTGTAGACGTGGACCACTATATCTTCTCTTATGGGGTTCTAATACTCAGTGAGCTATCTCCCCAGCCCAAGACTATTTTTAATCTGACTTTATTCAATCCTTATAACAAGCTTAAAATGTGGTTATCAATATTACCCATCTTATTGCCAAATAAACTGAGGCTCAGAGAGGCAAAGTCAACTGTCCTGGGTTGCACAGCTCAGTTGGATCCTGACTATGATTCAGCTCCCTCTAATCTTGACTCATGGACTCTCTCCTAACCATAGGGTCTTCCCTATGAGCATCCAATTCCCCTCTTACCACCACACATACCAGTCAGGGTCTTTGTTACTGCCAAACACTCACACTCAGGCAAAGCCACAGGAAATGAGAAGTGTTTGTTGTCGGTGAGACAGGGTCTCACTATGTAGCCCAGACAGGCCTGGATTAAGAGCCTACTGCCTCAGCATCATAAGTGCTGGGGTTACAGGCATGTTCCACATACCCAGCTGACAAGAGCTTGCTTTTTACCAGAAGTTTACTAGCTTGGCCATGTCCATCCCAGTCCCAGCTGTTTAAGGTCTGTCCCCTGCATCCTTACTCAGCAGGGCTGCTCATGCACCCACACACATGCTCAGAGCAGCTTAACGGGAGGAAGCCAAACCAGGAAATCCCCCTGGCATTTGCTCCATGTGGAGTGCCAAGGGGCAGCCCCTGCCCCAAACCCAGGGCTTTGAGAAGCAGGACACACACCAGCTCCAGACAACAATGGATGGATGTCACATGGACCACCACAAATTTGAGGCCAGCCTGGGCTATATAGCGAGGCCCTATCTCATAAAAACAAAAAGAAAACAAAAGCAAGACCAACAAGTAGGAAAATAAATAGCATCACAGCACGATAGGTTATTGGGGGGTGGGGACCTAAGGAACTACCTTCCAACGGGAACTGGAGGCTGGTCTGACAGGGTCTGAGTTGGACACCAGAGTAAGCAAGTCTTGCTGTCCCTTCTCATGTCTTTCTCTGGGGTCTGGGAGCCCGGATGTCTACACAGACAGCATTTCCTCTCAAACAGCCCTTGTGGCCATTTTCATCTTCTGGGGTTCTTAGAAGACGCCCCATCCCCACTCTTGGCCACTCTCTCAGCAGTTTTTCCGTCTTGTGTGTCAAGTCTTCACAAGACCACACACTTCACGTAGAAACTGAAGCTGCAGGAGGAAGTGGTCCTAGCAGCCACAGAAAAGCATTGGGGTCATCCTGTCAGCCTTGCCAAATCCTCCTTAGAATAAAATGCCCAAGCTGGGTCTATCACCATCCCTTGCTAATCATCATGGCAGTGACTGTCCAGCAGCCTGCCTATGTCCCACAAAGCTTGAGATCTCAAAGAGCTAGAGATACTGCCATTTTAGGCAGGGGAACCGAAGCACAGAAACTCTTGATTGGTCACAGGTTACAGGGAGAGGCAGGAGGTCTCCTGGTATCCAAGCCATGAACCCCCAGCATGGTAATGAGGGTCTAGGCCAGTAGTTCTCAACCTGTGGGTTGCAGTCCCCATGGGTTGCATATCAGATATTTGCATTATGATTCATAACAGTAGCAAAATTACACTTATGAAATAATGTTATAGTTGGGGGGGGTCACCACAACATGAGGAACTATATTAAAGGGGCACAGCATAAGGAAGGTTGAGAACCACTGTCCTAGAGGAAGGATGCCTAGTGACGAGGCGACATGCACTACCCTCTCCAAAGAAATGACTTCTCTCCCCTGCAGCTATCCCTAGATTCCCTCCCCTTGAGGCGCCTCCCTTCTCTGTCCTGTATCGCTCAAAGTCTGGGACAGCATGCATGTCCTTGCTCAGGATCTAGCTCCCCAGAAAGGCAGCTTGAGGTGACCAAGATCAGGTTGCCCAACTCCACATACTTGTTACCCTCTCTTATTTATATTTTAATTTTGAGACAGGGATTCATCCTGTCGCTCAGGCTAGCCTTGAACTGGCAGCAATGCTCCTGCCTCAGCCTCCCAGTGGCTAGAATTACAGGCTTGCCTCATCACATCCAGCTGATGATGTGATCACCCTCAGCTCCTTGACATTCTGGAGACTACAAAAAAACGCCCAGCAGCTGCAGCCCTTCATTTACTGAGGGAAATCTTAAAGGCCGCTTTAAGCAGCCTCAGGGAGAAGGAAGAGCAAGGCCAGAAACGCTTGGAGAGAGGAAACAGAACTTAGTCGTCTGGGAGAGGTCTCCCCCCTCCCCGTGCAGATCCCACCCTTGCCTGTGAGGCCCAAATTCCAACCTACTTTTCTTTGAGGCAGTGAAAGGTCCGTGCACCTGAGCTTTCCACAGGTTCGGAGTCTCCCTGCACTAGCTCTTGGCCCTTCCTTCCTGGAGCTGTGACATCACCAGGCGGCCTCACTCACACCCATCCCATACACAGACTAGGGAGTAGCCCAGAGAAGAGAGACTTCTGTCTGTCTTTGCTGGGAAATGCCTTCTTTGGGAGCGTTCCCACAGCCTGATTGCCTGACACACACACACCCCACACACAATCTGACGATGTCAAGGCTGGTAGCTGCTGACAGGGAGTGGGCACCTGCCCCTTGGGGACCCTGCTCCTAACTGTCTGGAACTTGACCACCAGCGTGACAATGTATCAAATCCCGGTCCCTGGAGCTCACCTAAACCTCTATCCAAGTCCACCCTGTGCATCCCCGCCGTTCCCGGCACAGGGACACGCTGCCACTACCCAGACGTCCCCCTGGCTTGCGCTGGCTGGAACCCCCACTCCGCAGTACTACCTGCACCCACCCCGAG